TTTTCCTTTCAGAGAAAATAATTTAATGAGAAAAGTAGCATTGTTTTACATTTTTGTAAATCTCTTTAATGTCTGGCTTAATAGAAGGCAGCTGGATTCCCATATCACTTCTGCATTTAATCTGTTTCAATTGGTTGTTTTGTTTGAAGTGAATGAGGAAATTTCGGTTTTGTATACATATAGTTGAAAAATGAAGTATTTTAAATAACCTTTAAAAATAATTCTGGGTATTCTTTTTCTTCAGTGCTTTTCTTGAGTGTAAAACTCAACAAGTGGCAAATTTCTAAAACCTTATAATTTCAGTGTGGAATATGAAACCACATCAGTTAATGTTTCACACTGGGCTACATTAAAATCTATTGGTCTATTTTGTACTTTGTATGAATCTTTCATTCACATATAATTTTATAACATCATGCATTATTAGCATTTGGAAAATATTGCTCACTATGTTATGCAAATCTTCCAAATGTTGATGCATTTCATTGTATAATGTCTAAAAGCACATTAACTAAAATGATCATAATCTTATTAGAAAAGACTATAGGTACCAGGAAACTATAAAGCTTATGGTGGCAGATACATGAACTCTAAATTCTGTTCAAATTTTTTCATTGCAAATAAATGTTGATGCTTGTTTACCTTGAAGTGATAGCTTCATTTCACTCATTTTCAAAAAAACAGTGGTCTGCCAACATTCAATCAAGTCTGAACAACCATAGTTTGTCAGTTGTTCTTTCAAGTAAAAATATATTTCATGAAAAAAGCAAATGGTTTAGCTCACAACTCAGTTATCCAAGTGTTTTAGTTCAGGATAAACACTGCACATACTCGGGTATACAACAGAAGAGCTTTATGTGTTTTCCATTTTGCCACAAAGAATATTAAGAAGACATAGTCAAGGGTTGAAATTTAATTAAATGGATATTTTTATTGCTTCATGAAAGACATCAATGGAACTGACATTGGTGGCAGGGAAAAAAACCTGTGAGGATGGTTTGGTTCCGTTGCTTGATCATGCTAAGGTGAGAGGCATTTCCCTACCCTTGTTTTTGTATCATTAGTGCAAATGTCAAACGGGGAAAAACAAAGCAAATGAATGTCTTAGAATTAATATGAAAATAGCTTTGGTCTTACAGATCTCCCCTGAAAGCAAGTATGTGAGGAGCCCCCAGGGGCTCATGGATCACACTTTGAGAACTGCAGACTGCGGGCATAAGGATTGAATTGGAGTTCTCCTAAATAGGCTTAAATTGCATTCTTAATTTTACAGTCATTGGGGGCTTTTTTCCAATTTACTAAATATTTATGAATATTACAGTTGAAAAGTAAGTTTGAACACAAATAAGCAAATATCTGCCAAACACTTGAATATTTTATACTACCCAAACTTCATAAAACATCTGTAAGTCAGCTATAATTTGTTCCACTTTTATATTAAAAAAAACACTGATGCTCAGAGAAGTTTTGTCTTAAAGCAAATAATTGTCAGAGTCTAGAATTAAATATAAGTTTGTCTGGCTAAATAATGCATGTTTTTTGTCTACTATAGCATATTGGCCAAGTCTCTCAGAACACACTGAAAACGCATTTATAAATATTCACTGGATTCACCAATGGCATCTTTTTTTTTCTTTGAGAAGAAAGGGCATACTGGTATATGCAAATCCTGATGTTCAAAACATAGACATGTTTAGAAATTACCATTAAAAATACCCTTCACAGAATTCTTCTGGAACTTCTATCTTAGGCACAGGTCTGTGGTGAAGGGACTAGGTTAATAACAAGTCACTTTAATGCCTTCAAAATGTGTTTTCTTTCTAATGGCAATTTCAAGCAATACACCAATTGCAGGTTTATCTGAACTCTTGTGAAATTTATGGAGTGGATACAGTTGCCTGCCCTCTTTGGCCTTCAGCTATTCCCTCTCCACCTACTTTTCCTCCACATCATGCAATCTAGACCAGGTGACTCACATAGGAAAAACAAACAAATCTACAACTACTACAAAAATACTTCCCTCTCCCCCCGTCTCATGGCCTAACTGTGAGGTAAATGAGCTCATGATTTCTGCCCCCAAATCCCACTTTCTCTCTCTGCTATTGTCTGGATCCTTCATATACCTAAAACATGCGCTGCTGTCACGTAGGTCAGGATCACTGAGACATTCTGTAAACAGCAGCAATCACCTTTCAGTCTGGTCATTTTGATCCATCTGCCACATTCCACCTTGGTCACTTGTCCCATCCTCCTTTGACTTCATCAATGCTGCTCACTCCTTGCTTTCCTCCTTCCCTTCTGGTCTTCATCTTTCTTTTGCAGACTCCTCTTTCTCTCTCCACACCTGCAACATCAGTGTCCTGGCATGTTCCATCTCTAGTCTGCTCTTCAAAGCTGCCTTCCTCCTCCACTGGCTGTGCCAAACCCCTGAATCCTGGCATGTCCTTCCAGTGTGGACCTGCCCCCAGGAGCTCCCCTTCTGGCTGCCTACACAGCCCTCCATTCAGTTATCACATGAGCACCCCCAGCCCAACAAAAGTGAAGCAGGACTCACTAGGCTCCTCAATCTGCCCCTCTTGTTGTTTCTTGACTAATGGCACCATTGCCTGCCTTGTTGCCCCAGACAGAAAACTGGGACCCAGTCTAGACCCCTCTTCCTCTCTGTATTCCATACATCACCAATCCCGGTCTATTTGATTTCCTAAATATCTCAAGAACTGTCTCACCCTCCCAAATGGCACTTCTGCTGCTTTCCCTCAGACCTAGCTTTTTCCTCTGGAAATAACCTTCTGCATTCTCCCTCTCCTTTTTTCTGCCACAATGGTACCAGAGGAAGCTTTCTAAAACACCAAATCTGATAGTGCTTAAAAACCTTAAGGCTTTTCCTTATTTTGAACCTTTAATAGTATCCCCAAACACCCATCACCTTCAGGAAAGACCTGACTGTCTGGGCCCCAGAGCCTGGCCCTGCTTTCTTCTCCTGCATCAGGCCACACCCAACTTCTCCCAGTTCCCAGGACACATCAGTACTTTGACACTTGCCCAACCTCTTCCCTTACTTGTGTTTGTGGAATGTCCACCAGCCCCCACCCATGTTTGTCTGGCATTCTCTTCCTTGTCCTTCAGAGCTTAGACTGAAATCTCTACCTCCAGCATTTCCTTAAGAGGAGTTAGCTGCTTCCTTTTCCAGACTCACACAGAACTGGACACACACAAAGGTTTATTACAGTGCTTTTCACATTTTCAATTATGCTTGTCTGTCTGCCTTCCTCTGAATTTCTTAAAAGGGGGTACTGTGTCTTTCCCCAAACCTCAGCCCTGAAGACATACTTGGTACATGGTAGGAATTCACTAAGTGTTTGTTAAGGAACGTGGGAGTGACTTACTCTGGGCCATATCTCTTAAGCCGGAGTCACTTCTTCAGATCCGAGCTGTGCTCCCCCCAGGTCATCCTCTTATTTGAAAACAAAATTATGGTGCACAGAGATCTTAAATGTCTCTTCCTACATTTAAAAATCCAACTGCTTTTGCAAAGCTACTCTGTGGCATGTATGCGGTTTCCTGAGGCCACCTATGCCAGTATCCTCATCTGGTAGCCACAAAACTTTAGCAGCTACATCAGTGTTGTCCGCGAGGAGGTATTTAAAGTGCATAACCAAAAGATCACAGTTTTTAATATGATCTCATAAGGTTGATTTCCACCTTATCATCTTCATGTCACAAACAAAATGAGAAGGGGGCAAGTGCTTTTTATCCTTGCAGTATTGTCATTATACCTTAATAATTTTAGAACTTAAAACTGTAAAGAACGCTAGAGTCTGAAACCCCAGGTTTAATGGAAACTAGGATCTTAAGTGCGAAAATGAGATCACTAAATCACTCAGTACTTTTTTTCCCCTTCTCTGCTTTCCTCCGCTGAAGCCAGGTTGCTAATTAGGTAACTTCTTATCACAATTACCTAGTCTGCCCTAATGGCTTCACACACTCCTCTCACTGGTCCTGTAGGGCCGCTTTTCAATTGTTAAAACAGGAGCGGGGAGTTTGCAGCCCGAGGGGACTAGGGCTGAGCCGAGGTGGCCGCGTCCCTGAGTGAGGGCTGTGGGAGGCAGGCGTTACGGAGGGAAGTGGGACACGAAAGCAGTTTGCACTCTGCTTTCCGCCTGGACCCTCCGCCCTCTGGATTTCACACGTCCTCCCCACTCCGCCCCCAGTCCACTCCAGGTCCCCTCTATTGTGCACCCGGGTCTCCCTGACAGGGCGAGGGCCCGCGAGGGCTTTGCAGCTTCGCTAGGGTCTCCGTGAGGCCTCCCTGTCTTTCCGCGGGTGGTGAGGAGGGGAGGACAGAGATGTGTACCCCGCAAGGCTGCCCGTGAGGGTCCTGTTTGAAGAGCGCCAGGTCGCAGGGCGGTGTGTGTGAGCAGAGGGAGAGAGGGAAGGAGCGAGCGTGCGTGTGTGCGTGTGTGTGTGTGTGTGTGTGTGTGTGTGTGTGTGTGCGCACGCTGGCGCGCAGCGGGAGGGAGGGAAGAGGGACAGAGGGGGAGGCAGCGGGCAGAGGAGGGAGGGGCGGGCGGGTAGCGGGGGGGGGGGCGGGGAGAGCTCGGGCTCCGGAGGTGACACTCGGAGCGCACACACACTCCGCGCCCGGAGCCTGGAGACAGCGGAGCGGAGTGAGCCGCGCCCCCGCCGCCGGTCCAGCCCGCGCGCGCCGCAGCATCCTCCGCCTGCAGCCCCGCTCGCTCCCGCCTAGGAAGACGACCCCGCGCCGCCGGCCGGCTCGGCCCGGGATCCCGGCCCCGCGCGGCTCCCCGCTCCACTTCGCAACAACTTCGGCGGCCGCGCGCCGCCCGCCCTGCGCCCGCCTTTGAAGTTTGCAGAGCGGGCCGAAAAGTTGGGACACTTGGGCCGACTGCATTTTGCTCCTTTATCTGCCTCCGCCCCTGCCCTCCGGTCCCTGTGGTTCCTGGATACCGGTGCTAAGCATCTCGGCAGGAGCCGGGAAGCGGGCTGTTTCGCACACCACACCTCGGGGAGGGATTTTTCCTCTTCCCCTTAGGACAAACACACTGATTTTAAGGTAAGTAGAGAGAGGAAAGCCTTAGGCGATTCCCCGACTCCTCGGTCGGACACCTCGGGACCTGGCATCACACGGCCTTTCCACCCGAGAGCTCTCCGGGATCGGGGATTGGGTCGCTCACCCCCAAACTGGGAAGGGCCCAGCCAGGTTCCCGGGGCGCCCGATCCAGAGGCGTGTCGGGTGTGAGGAGCGCGGGGCAGGTCTTCTAAACGTTTTAAGGCTGTCTTGGTGGCGCGTTAGAAGAGACAGTGCGCAGGCTAGGGAGAGGAGGAACCCCGTTCCCGGGATGCGGCGGGGTCGGGGAGCCCCAGATCCGTTATCCCTGACTTGGCCTGGACACACACTTTGCCCTCCTGCCGAATGGGCTATTGCCTCCCCTGAGTCCCTGCCTTGTGCCGACAGCTAGAGAAAGTCTTCGGGGCTGGGCTCTCGGGGAGCCTGCGTGCGGGGCGAGAAGCTCCGGGTCGGAGCCACAGGGCCGGGGATGGCGCTCGGCCTCTCCCGGCGGACCTCCTGCAGCTCGGACTCCCCGCCAGTTCTCTGCGCGGTAGGCGAGCATCGCTATGGAAACTTCTTGTGCTGAGCAGGGTGGCCTGGGAGGGGCTCGCACTTTCGCAGGAGCTGAGGGCATCCACCGCGGGGACATCCCCTCCCGCGCCAGCTGGGGTGACCGGGTGTCGCGACCTTGCCCCGTCTGTGGGCGCGCGAGTCGAGGTTCGCTCGAGTCTGAGCCACCTTCCCTCCTGCGCTGAGCGCCGTGGCGGTCCAGACACTCCGCGCCCCGCAGGAGCACTTTCAGATCCCCGCGGTTCCTGGGGCGCATTTTGCAAACTGCCGAGTTTGAGGTGCGGTTTCGTTTCATTGTGGGCCCGTGGTTCCCACTCCTCTCAGGGCCCCCGCGCTAGGCCGAGGCGTGAGAGTGCCCTGCAGTCCCCGCACCAGTCCTGCGGAGGTGGCCGAGGCCCTCGGAGTTTGAGGTGGGCACCTCGGTGCCGTCGCCGCCACCAGGTCGCGCGGTTCCCCTCTCCGCCTCGTTCGCCCTGGGCGCTGTCCATCTCCTGTTCCGGCCACGGGCGGCTCCTTGAAACCTAGACCTTGAGCGCCAAACGAACCGAGCAAATGTTTCTGGTTTTGTTTTCCAGAGTTCTTTTTAGCAACTTAGTTGAGTTGGTAAATGTGTTTACTTCTCTCATCTTTCAATCCTTCTAAATTACAAAGGAGAACTTATTTTATCTTTGCGTTGCTGTTCTCCCCAAACACAGGGCCCTCTCCCCTCCCACCCCGCCTCCGCCCGCCTCGCTTGCTGAACCCTTTTTCTTTGCTAAAGGAGGGAATCTCCGCACCTCCTCCTCTCCTCCTCCCACCGGTCCCCGAGCGTCTGTGAGAACCAGGGGAGTCATCAATGGGAATAAATAGGACCCGGCTCCATTCTCCGCCCCCTTCAAACAAGTAAAATCCTCCCTGGGCTGCAGAAGTAGAGATAAAACATCCCTCCCAAGGGAGCGGTTGCTGAGGATTTGATGGGATTGAATTGTTTTATTATCCTAAAAGAAAGTGATGGATGGCTACGAGTGGGGCTATGCGTGTAGAGACTGGGGTACCAAGGGGGTCGGTATTTATTATTATTCATTACTGTTTATTAAGAGTGATAATAAGGCCGTAGCCCTCACTGAGGACTATGTTTACACTTGGTTTGATTTTATGTCAGTCTCTTATTACAGTGGTTTTAGAAAGTGAAAACACCAAAACGGTATTAATTCCTTGCACTCATTCTGCATATGGAATTAATCAAATGTCAAAGAGATACTGTCATTTTACTAAAGTTACAGAAGGTTGCTGTCTCATGAAATGTCTCATTTCCTCACTCTGTCTTCTTAAAGTTTAAAAAAACTTGGCAACGTAATTAATTATGGTCCCAATTCCCACTTTCAATCTAAACCTATATGTAGGATTATATTAAAATATCCCATCATTTTGAATCACTCTAAAAGTGATTCTTATGAGTTTAAATTCTTAGTGTAGGGGGCGGGGACAACTGGGAATAAGGAACTCAGAAGCTAGAGAAATTAGTACTATTTCAAATTCTTCACAAAAGCCCTTCTGTAAAAGAAAGGAATTACAAGTCCCCCCTCCACACAATTCTTACTTCAGTGACTGTCCTTAATCTTTACCACACGCTGGAAACATAACAGCTTGCAGCCTTGTCTGTATTATTGTTTTCATTTTTGTGTCAGGACGTTTTATTCATTAAACCTGTATGTCAAAAACTTAGGCTCAGCGTGACAGAAACACTCTGTTTTAATTAGTAACTATCATAAAAAGAAGCTAGAACTCTGTAATGGGCCTAAATTGCTATGAATTATGTGTGGTTTAAATTATACATTTATTTCAGCAGAAATGAAACCATGAATATAAAACATCTTTTAATCACTTGCAGATACAGCTTTTATCTCTGAGGATGTAACAAAATATATAATTGAAAAACATCCTTGACTGAATGAAGGGAGCCCCGCACCTTCAGTTTATTTGTCCTAGGTCTATTTAACATTCATGTGGTAAATTTGTGAATGTTAAAGAAAAAAGACTAATGTCATAACCTTGGCAGTACCATGGGAGGGACTGCATTTGAAGTAGCCACAGTGTCTGTCTTCATATAACTTAATGCAGAGACATTTTCAATTGACGTTATGAACCTGCCAATTCAGACTTTAGGTTTTCCCCTTGGATTTAACAAGCAGACTGTATTGTGTGTGTGTGGGGGGGGTGTTTTAAAACTGTTAAATCATGAAGAAGAAAAAGGTAGAAATAAACTTTGCCTGTAAGTTATCTCCCTGTTTATTTATACAGCAGCCTATCTCGAGATCAGAATTTTCATCACAGAACTGGTTGTGTTTTGGTTACATAAAAAAGGAATTACAACTTAGAACAAAACTAATAACAAAGGATGGATAGATATTGGAAATGAAATGATGATGCCTGAACTAGCAGACAGCATTGTAGCAATGCATGAATTCCACATAATTGGAGCTGATTCAAACTCTTTTAGTCTCCCTTCTTTACTTTCTCAAGAATAAGATGGTTGATTCTAGTGACCAAGCAGTTCCTCCCTCCTTCTCTCTCACTTTTTCCCCCTTTCTGTCTTTGCATCAGCCCTTGCTCTGGAGAGTCATGCACCCAGAGGAGCAGCCCCTTGAGTAATGAATGTTGTGAGTTAGTTGTCATCCAATACCTAGGAAGAAAGTGTATGCCAAAGACATCTGTATGGGGTCAAAGACAAGCACAACCTACCAAAGTCATTGCACTAGTTCATTTGACGTTGAAATAAATTCTAGAGCCTCACAATGTTTGTTACAGAATGATTATTTTGAAGAATATATATGTTTATTCTTCCCCTGTCAGTTCACAATCATTTAGTAGAAACCACAGCACTCTTGAGCAGTTAAAAAAGTAAACTGCACTGAATCATTGCTTTAAAAACTGATTCCAAAATTGAACTCTTTCAGTACTTACATACTACTTTTCAAAAGCTTTGTATTTTATGTCCTTAAATTGGGGTAAACCTTGCTTTATGTTTCCTCTCTAGGCACATGGAAACTGAAATGACACCTAGGATGTATTCAGTTACACTTCCATATTAATTTCCACCTTGGAAGGAAAGTAAATACTCTGTTACTGTTGTCAAAAAATAAGCACATGGTATGATGTGGAAAAACAAGAATGCTGATACTGTATTGCATTAAACAGTTGTATATGGATCATAAATTCAGTTATATTTCTGGGGGAAAAAAAGCCCACACTGTTTCAGTGTGGGTCTGTGTTTGCAGATTCATATATCTGTCGACACTTCTGAGATCACATCTGACATTTGCTTTTCCATACCCTACAGGTATCCAAGCCAGTGCCAAAGCAGGTGTATTCTTAGCACTCATTTCCTAAAGACAACCTCCCAACACACCTCCCCTCTTCCTTTTGTTATTTTACCAAAAACTGCAAAGTAACAAATCCATGAACTTTACACTTTTGACATATTTGAAAGATGTGAAGTGTACATGATACATATGAACTCCAACAAAATGTTGCTTGTTTTGCATTTTGAACATTGAAGGGAAAAAATGTTAGTAGTGTGGAGTAAAATCAAACTAGCAATATTTTTCTGTAGGTATTTCTCCTTTGGAATAAAGAAATAGATTTGACCACATAACAGCTGAGAACTGGGTTCTATTACAGTGGGGTTTTTTTCAAGGAACTCATTAAGCTAGAGTTGATTTAAACTTCACTTTAAATTCTATAGATCTCAACTTTATAAGAAAAATATTAAAAACTTCCAAGATTATACATCATTTTTTCACTAATTTCTAGATTCTTTGAAAATAGATTTATTTTAGTAAGCTAGTGAACAGTTCTTAGTTTTCATGAGTAATTTTTTACTGTAATAAATTCAAAGAGGAAATATATTTAATGTTTCATATATTTCTCTGAAGTATTTTAGTATCACTTGCAGAAACTAAGAAATAAATGTTTTGTTTAAAAAAGGAAAATGTGGCTGAGTAAAATAGTATAATTGTACTTAGCTTATCAAATTCTTCTTTTGAAACAATTTAATGCCTTTTTGAGGTTATAGGAAGAGAAAAACACTTTCAGAAATAATGGGGCTAAAGTTTAGAAGGAACTCAATTAAAACCTGATTACACATTATTAGAAATCAACTCACTAGACCAGAACTCTTAGACAGTGCCTCTGCAGTATGGAGACTTTTTAATATAATGATCAAATTATAAAAAAGTTAATATGCATGCATGTTTGTTTTCTACCTGGAATGATTGCAGCTAATGTAACAAATGACTGGCTAAAGTAAACGGAGACTGTACAACTTTCTATCTGTCTTTTGTCTCTCTAATAGAAAATCGAGGCAAATACTCTTCTTCCAGCTGTGTGCTTAGTGAACATCTATTCCACAATCCAAAGACACAGCCAAAAGTATGGACTGTATTCAAGAAATG